AAGAACCCGTCCAGAAGACCTACACAATTTTTTTTCTTTTTGATTTTTTACCTGGATTACTGAGATGCATCAGGACAAAATAAAAGGAGGTTATTTGAGTGGAAGATTTCAGCTCGGGTTAAACGAGTCGCTTCATCTCGCTGTCTGATTCCCATGTTTCTTTCATCRTTTTCACTTCGCTTTTAAAAGTTGGTTTTGATGAAAGGCTGCAGAGGAGGAAAGCGACCGCTGAAGGAGCAAAGAGGAAGTCTAATCCATTCAGAGAGGTTTTTTAACTCCGACGTTTATTCATTTTTAACTGAACTCCTCCGGAACTGCAGATCTGAATAAATGAAAACAGACCAAGGCGCCGACGATACTAAAGAGTCCAACAGGAACATAAATGGAGTCACGGATCTTAGTTTTATGTTTACGTTGTGAATATTTTACACTCTTTAAAGTTCTCGAGGGCCTAGACGACTTCATTTATTTACATCCCCAAAGTAAATAAAAAAACAAAACAAAGAAAGTATAAAAAAATTTAAAGAAACGACACATTTTGTTTTGAAGTTGAGGAGGAGAACATGGCATAAAGCACAACAATGGCATGATAAAAACAGGTGAGAGCGGGCGGGGCAGGAGCTGAAGAAACAGGAAGTGAGTGGAGAGGATAAACGAGTAAAGATTCAGATTGTCCTCTTGTTTATCTGTGAATTTTATATATAAAAGAGGCTTTCTTAGGAGACTGAAGCCGATGAGAAAACCGTCATTCGTCCTTCCTGGGGGATGATTGACGAGCTGACGGGGAGCAGCACGTGGAGAGAACAGCCGAGGGGGTCGCTGAGGTCTCATTCCCCTCCTCAGAGACTCGTTTCAGGCCCTCAGTGTTGTGACATCCCTCTCACCCCTCCAGTGCCCTGCTTTATCTTCCATCATGGCAGAAGATTGAGCTCTAGTGCTGATGTTCGTTTTAGTTTAGGTTTAATGACACGACATGAACTTTTTGTTTTTATCCCCCACCACCTACACATACCCTAAAATTAGTTTAACAAAAACTGAAAAAAGATCAAATGAAATAACGTAAAAACTGGTCCTTTAATGTCGGGTTTGTTCACATAGTGAGCAGCTGTGTTGGAGCAGATGGTCCAGCGTGTGTTACAACGCACACACTTCTTTCTGTGTCACTGCTTCTCTGCGTGGCAGATGTTGGACTGACTTGTATATTTCTGAGTGCTGAAAAGAACAATATGAACATTGCAGAGTTCCCACCTCAATTATAAAGTAGTTTTTTTCTTGTTGTTGTTGTTTTCTCAGGTGAAGGATGAACGTAAAGCGCAGGAAGTGTTTGACCTGGCTGACTACGAGCGTTCAGAGGAGCTGAGGAAGGCGAAGAGTCGCAGCAAGAAGAACCACAGCCGCTTCACCGTGCTGCGCTGCAGACATCGAGGAAACCCTGTGAGTCCGTCCGTCTGTCTGCTTATAGCACGGACAGGACGWTTTTCATCCTGGGCTCCTGGTGAAAACAGTGAAACACACCCAGAGCCTCTCCTGAGATTTCTGCTTCTTTAAATTCAACAACAGCAATMCTGAGAACTCTTTTTTTAATGATCTGCTGCGGTGCTAATGCTGAGGGCTAAAGGATTTTACTGAAGAAGCTAAAACTGTGTTGTTGAAGTTTAAACAAAAAGATTATAGGCTAAAATGGGCAACATGGGCTAAGATGAGCAAAACAGAGGCAAAAAAATGACAAAATAGAGGCTAAAATGAGCAAATTAGAAGCCAAAAAGGGCAAAACTGAGGCTAAAATGCGCAAAACAGAGGTTAAGATGGTCAACATGGGTTAAGATGAGCGAAACAGAAGCTAAAAAGGGCAAAACTGAGGCTTAAATCAGCAAAATAGAAGGTGAAATTTGTAAAACAGGCTAAAACGAGCAAAATAGAGGCTTAATTGGGCAAAATAGTGGCTATAATTGGTAAAACAGAGGCTAAAATGGGCAAAACAGTCTAAAATATGCAAAACAGAGGCTAAAATGAGCAAAAATAAGCTAAAAAGGACAAATCAAAGGCTAAAATGAGCAACACAAAGGCTAAAAAGAGGCTAAAATGAATAAAACAGTCTAAAATATGCAAAACAGAGGCTAAAATGTGTCAAACCGAGGCTAAAATATGCAAAACAGAGGCTAAAATGTGTCAAACCGAGGCTAAAATATGTAAAACAGAGGCTAAAATGTGTCAAACCGAGGCTAAAATATGTAAAACAGAGGCTAAAATGTGCAAAACAGAGACTTAATTGGACAAAACTGAGGCTCAATTGGGCAAAAAAGAGGCTTAAATTTGCAAAATAATTGCAAAGGAGCAAAACAAAAGCTAAAAGTAGCACAAGACGACAACAGTATGTTTGTTGAAGCAGATTTTAAAGAGAACAATGTTTATGTTTTTGAAGGACTTGAAGAGAGAAAACATAATTCAAACCGGAAAGTAAGCTTCCTTACTGATATCATGAGGTCAACAAGCTTTAGTGCTACGATCCGTGGTTTTTAGAAAAGAGTTTATTTCTTCTGAGATTATGTTTTGTGTCTCATATAAGAGAGGAATCCAAAAGATTTAACTTTTAACCTCTTAAGAGACTTTTCTTTTGTCCGACTGGTTTGTGTGTTTCTGTGTTTGTAGAGACTCAGACAGTTTTACAGATATTGATCTAAAACTTGGTGTGGTAGCTGAGAGTCATCCATCGCACACAGTGTCTGAGATCTTACAACATCGTATAAGACTGTGTCAAACAAATTGTCAGAAATAGTTTCGTGTTTCTTAAGTCTTCCATCCAGATGTCTTTGTCCGTCTCCGTCCGTCCTCTGCGCTCAGAGATTACACCGTCCTGACTCACTAACACCGCCCACCTCATTGGTGGAGTCTCTCCTCCATCCGTCACGGGATTGGTCGATCTGAGTTCAAACAACCCGTCCACCCCGCCTGGGCTCCTCTGATTGGCTGATCCGTGTTGTTTTTTTTTTTACCCTTGAAATGGTTTAATCTGCAGAATCCCATTAGTTTGCGAGTTACAGCAGAATAATCCCTAAAACACTTTCACATGTCCGTCTTGCTGCCCACTCGGCTCTGCTGCAGTTTGTTCCAGTCACGCTGCTGCGAGGGGAAGGAAAGGAAAACGTGACTGAGTGTGTGGTGGCTAACGAGGACATCAGACCGCAGAGCGTTGTTTGACGAGCTTTTAATCTAGGCGAAGAAGCGGCCTTTTAAAACTTCACTTCCTGTTCTCATTGCAAAGGATTTGGATWGTGGGTTAAATTTAGTAAAATGTGTTTCTGCAGGTTCCTAACCTGGTGTTTCTGGCTGTGAGTCCTGAGGAGAAGGAGTCATGGATCAACGCCCTGAACGTGGCCATCATCAAGGCCAAGAACAGAGTCTTAGATGTGGTTTGTGTTCCTTTGTTTTAAAATTAATATTAAAGTGTTTGTGACATGATTATCCTTCAAATACAAACAGTCAAAGAAAACATCTTTATATTTAAGAAACTTACATGATTTTACCCATTTTGTTACATTACTGGCCTGTTTTCTTTTGAACAGGAAGTGACATCAAAGGGGATCTCTATAAAGAAGAGAACTCTGGTTATTGTTTAGAGCTCTGACATTTCTTTATTTCTCTGAAATAATAAAAATAAAACATCAGATTCTTCTCTACAATCTGTTTTTAGCCATTGTAGCAACGCTCTGTTCACATGCAGACATTCCCCTTTGACATCACTTCCTGTTGCTTCACATGTGAATATCTCGAGAACAGTTCATCTCAGCGTTGTGATTTTTTTTTTCAGTTTGTGATTGATGTTATCTTTCAAAAAAATGCATTAAAAATTTGATGATACAGGCATTTTAAAGCCTTCTGGTAACTAAAATGTCACCAAAAACTAAAGAACAAACTCAAAATAAATGTCTCTTCAGGTGACAATCGAGGAGGACAGCGCTTTGGCTCATCCCACCAGAGATCGAGCAAAAATCCCTCACAGCCGCCGGCTTCCGACCAAAGGACACCTCATGGCCGTGGTACCAAACTCCTTATTTTATCTTCACGCAGGATCAGCTGAATGGTATCTTTACAAGGCCTTTTTATTCTGCCGTCGTAGGCGTCTACCTCCTCCCACGGCATGCTGACCCTCGACCTGGTCGCAGAGGAGGACGGCTTCTCCCTGGACTACGACGACGACCCGCAGGACTCCTGGGAGAACAGCTTCCGGGTCGACCTGGAGAAGGAGGGAGGTCGGCAGCGGGCCGGCACCGACGTGTCGAAGCTGCGGGCGACGCCCCAAGAACCCAAGGTGAAGACGAGCAGTTTGCCCAGGGGGAGCGAGCGGTCCTGGGGCAAGCACCTGGAAGTCTCTAAAGTCCACAAGAACCAGCAGGTCCAGGACTACATTTTATTTATTTTATTTATTAAGCCTGGAATAAACCCTCAACGCTGAAAGTTAAGTTTAACACGACGCTGTCTGTTTCCTCTCAGGTCCTTCAGGCTCAATCTCGGACGCCTCAGCCAGGGAAGAGGTTCAGCATGCAAGGTCGGAGTCGCTGTGCCTCCATGGACGAAGTCCTCTCCTCCAGGTACGAGCTGCTACCTAACAGTTAACATATAAACAACAGAAAAAAAAAACACAGCCTTACAGAGAATTTAAATAAATGAAACCCCACTGACCCATTTCAATCAGCACACCTTAATAATTCATCACTCTGAAGTGGTGCGTTTGAGAGCGAAGGCTGCTTTAAAAATGAAAAAAAAAAACTGAAGCTGTGATTAATTTTTTATTCATCCGTTAATTTTTTTATGCCTTATCAGAACACGTCGCGCTAATTCAGTTCAGACAATACAAGGAAACGTTAGGGTTAGAAATTGAATCAGAAATAACTTTACAGAGACATTGTGAAGCTTGTGAGTCCAAAAATAATCAGAACAAACAAGAAACCAAAGAGAAAATCTATCCTGCACCTCTACTAATATAAGCATGAAAAAATGGACGCTAAGAAGGATTTGTTAAAACTTTGAAAGGGATCCCTGATTAGTCGTAACATTAGACTTTATTTGATAAACATTTACTTTAACTGTAAAATAAAGACTGTAAAAATACTGTAGGCTGTTTAGTTTTGTAAATTTTTAAAAATATATTACAC